TTTTTTAATTTACTTTTAATAATTAACATTTTGTTATAATGTCAAACTATTTTGAAACTGATTCTTGGCCCAACGAATTTGACGATTTTCCTACTCACCACGCGTTAACACTACCAAGCAAGATTATAAAACGTATAGCGCAATATCTAGACGTCCAGCATGACCGCTTCAACTTTTGTCTTGTCAACAAAAGATGGACTCCCGCAGCTACAGAAATTTTATGGTCAGAACCTGTATTTAATACACCAGATTCTTTCCACTCGTTCTGTCGTTCTGTTAGACAATCAAGGTCATTTGCTCTTAGAGTTCGCGTATTAGATTTATGTGCACCAGAAGATGAGCTTATAAACTTTTTTGCGCCTGTTTTAAAGTCAGAACGTCAAGAGCATCAAAAAATGCGTACTTATGTGTTATCAAAGCCAAATTCTATCATGAATTTAATTCGATCATGCGAGAATTTAAAGAGTATTAAAATATATGGGTGGAATCTTAATGATAGTCACATACAATCTTTAATTCAATATTGTCCGGGACTCGAGGAATTTCGCGTGGTAGGGAACCAGAATCTCTCTCAGTTCTCTGTCTATTCGCTTATAAATTGTATTCCTGTCCTTCGTGTTCTCGATCTGGATGGAATTTTTGTTTTATCGGATAATTTCGCAGAGACATTAGCGACCAAATGTTCCCAACTCACCTCACTTAAGATTTGTACAGATTTGATGTCCGTACGTGGTTTCGATATTTTAGCTGGAAAATTAACGCGTCTGAAGGAATTAGTGTTACAAAACTGTTCGCAAATGTCAGACGACAACATCGAACGTTTTGTACGTAACAATTCTAGTTTACAAACACTGTTGCTATCGGGTGATAAACTGTCTATTAGGTCTTTTCAAGCTATTATTTCTTCGTTGGAAAATTTGCGTCACCTAGATCTGAGGTGCTTAAAAGAAATGTCTCATACTATCAAATGGGTCACGCCACTCGGACAGAAATTGCATACAATATTATTCGATAATTTATCTGTGGATGATGATCTAATTGATATTCTTTCAAACAATTGCAAACACGTAGAGATATTTGGACTTTCTAGATGCCCGTTCGTGACAGATCGGTCAATAGATAGCATTGCTGAACACTCTGAAAATTTGCGCATCGTCAATTTAATAGGATGTCATAAGATTACTGACACTTGTTTAAGAATTTTGGCGAACAAAGCATGTTATACGCTTGTTCAATTGCTTGTTGATTCATGTGGATTTTTCGATCCAGCAGGAGTGCGTTGGTTTGTTTCTAATACTTTTAAACTTGTAAGAATTACATTTTGCAAGATGCCATCAATATCAGAGTCCTTTGTCTATCAATTCTCCACAGAACATTATTCAAATTTCGACAATCCGACCGGTAGATGTACTATCGAGGGTGATAATTTGAAGAAATTGACTCAATATAATAACCAGAA